AGCTCCTGCATTGAATGACTGCCTCCTGGTGGTCAGTGCATGTCATAGTGACCAGTCAACTTGTTCAGTTTACCCTCTGATTCAAGTTGGGCTCCCCCAGAAGGAGAGCCTGAGATAAGGACTGGAGTGCAAGTCAAGAATCTCTGTTGGGAGGGAATCCCAGCAGTGTCTTCCAGGGAGCAGGGCACTGAGACAAGGAAGGGAAGGGAGCCGGGACGGGGGCATCACTGAGCAGGTAACTCTGCAGACACCCAGCTCCTTCCCTCTGGGACCCCTGAGAGGCCATGTAGAACATGCCTCAGGGTTGTACCTCAGGGCAAGGATGTTGGAGAGATAGCCAGTCAGTCAAAGGGTCAATACACTCAGCAGCCAGAAGGCCCCTCCTGTAGACAGTTGGGGATATTTGCAGCTGAGAGCTCCGGGCGAACAGAGAAAAAGGAGAGCTGACCGCACCGATGGGATCTGCAGGGATCATTCACACGGGGAGTATTTTTTATTCTAAGTCATATGCGGTAATGGAAAGGTCTCCCTCCTCCCCCAAGACAATAAAGAGAAGGTGGGATTTGAGAAGGAAGGGAGCGTATTACTGGAGGGGAGTGTGGCGGGACCTGGGATTTTTATGAAATGTACCTAGAGTTTTTAGCTAATATATTTTAACTGCGAGCATATTAAAAACCAGGGCCTCGAATTTATAGCGGCTGTAAGGAAAGTGAAAAATAACAGGGCCCCGGGGCCTGACTGGGTTTAGTAAGCGCCACCAGCGGGAGGAAGGGCCGTAAAACCTTATCACGGAACAGGGGAGGCATGAGCCACACGGCGAAGCCGGGAGAATTTCCTCACCCACGATGCCACGCAGAGCCCGTTTCATAAAGGGCTTGGCATCTGGATGGCTTCTTAGTGAGGAATGTTCCCCGAAGTCTTAAAAACCAGCAAATGCCTTTTACGCTAGGCGCATGCATCCAGGCAGGCTGAGCGGGTTCTTTCCCAGCAGGGAAAGCAGCTAACGGTTCTCTTCATTCCACTTTCCATGTCTGCAGCCCTCGCTCTCCTCTGAGTCTCTCTTCACGTCTACTCCTTGTCCCCCCTCCCTAGTACTGGCTGCTTTGCAGGGTGATTTTTGGCTCTGTGGCGTATGCTACTTCTTCAAGGAGATGCATTGGTGTTGAGCTGTGGTCACAGTGCCTGAGTGAAGGGGTGTTTGGTGGTTCATTGGCCACACACATACACAGAAAACATCTCTGCCTGAGAAGGTGCCTATAGATGCTCTTATTCACCTGACAGTTCCTATCGCAGGGAACACGATAAAATCAAAGGGAGGTATCGTGTTGGTGGGCTTGGGTTACCTTACCTTGAAACCACACGTTGGTTGGTTTTCCTGTTTCCAAACCATAGTCTTAGCAGACCTCCCTCCATGCCAGAAGTTTCATTTGTTGTTATACGAAGTCCAAGAGAGTGAAACTTTAACCTCTGCTTCTAACCACTTAGCCTTGGTTTTATCTGTAATTCACTCGGTGAAAGGCATCTGATGACAGATTCTTTCTTACGCTCCAGTGAAGTGACATCGGAGGTCCTCCAAGGGGTTTAACGTAACCGCCTGGTACTGCGAAGTGTCTTGCGGTAGAGCAGGAATATAATATTAACTGAGAGTCCTAGGTGTCTGAGCAAGGAATCCCAGAGAGCATTCCCGGGGGAGCCCACCTGGGGGATGTTGGGAAAGTCTTGACTGGTGTGGTTGAGCTTGGGGTACGCTGTGGCCAAAAGAATACAGCGCCAAAACCGACATTTGCTTCAGAGTGATTTAAATACTCTGCATCTCTCAAAAGCAATGCTGTTAACATCCCTTCCCCAACTTCTCTCCCATGTCCCGGGTATGTTCCACAGGTGTATCTGGGCCCTTAGTGTTCAAATGTCTCACCTAGAAAACCCCTCCCCTGGTACCAGCCCTCCTATTTCCTATGCTCTTCTCCCCTCCACCCACCTGATTCTGCCCAGAAAAACCCTAAATGAGCCAGCCTGGCAGAAGTGGGAGCTTCTCAGAAGGTGGGAGAGTATGCAAAGCTAGAATTCTTCATAGGTCAGAAGAATGGGATAGCAAGGGATCCTTAGGAAATAATCTTTGCATTTTAAAATATGAGCACAGGGAAATATTTTATCAGATGGCACCAAGGGGTACTTTTATTTATTTATTTTTTTAAATCCTCACCTGAAGTTACACTTATTGATTTTAGAGAGAGGGGAAGGAAGAGAGAGAGAGAAGGAAGGAGGAGGAGGAGGAGAAGGAAGAAGAGGAGGAGGAAGACACACACACACACACACACACACACACAGAGAAAGAGAGAGATAGGGAGAGAGAGAGAGAGAGAGAGAGAGAGAGAGGGAGAGAGAGAGAGAGAGAGAACAATGTGAGAGAGAAAATTCATTCATTGATTGGTTGTCTTCTGTACTTGTGCTGCCTGGGGATTGATAGAACCTGCAACCTAGGTATGTAGCCTGACGGGGAACAGAACCCACAACCTAGGTGTATGGGGTGATGCTCCGAATAACTGAGCCACACCGGCCAGGGCAAGGGGGGCACTTTATTAGTAGCAGACCTGGTTGTTTTTCAGGACAGCCACCCTGAGTCATTAGAGAGATGCATCCCAGAGTTCCACCCTCCATGTGACTCTTCCACCAGAAGACCTTCCTGAACCTCCTTATGTTTAAAACTGTGCCACTCATGAGGTCCACAAGTTAAAGATGGTTTGAGAATTCTCAGATTTGGCTAATAACGCTAAATGCTGTCTACGCCTCTCATGATTTCAAAGGCTTCAATCCCTCTAACCCTCTGTCCTTTTTCATCTCTCCTGTCTGAGTGAAGCCTCCTTTCTCTTCAGCATTTTGGTTGGCTTCCTTGGACCTCCTCCAGCTCAGCTATGTTTTCTTTGCCGTACAGCTGTCAGAATTAGTCACAGTATTCCAGGTGCATGAGTCAGCTTTGCAGGAGGAGCAGCAGACTTTAAGATTTACTTTTAGCATCTTCTTTTTTTGTTTTGTTTTGCTAATTGCCTAGTATTATTGTTGCTTTTACAGTTTTCCAAGGGACAAATGTCTTAAAAAAACACACCATAAAGGTTTCTAATGCATTTTCTTTGGCTGTAACTATCCTTCTGGAAATATGGTTTGAACTCCTTGTTGCACCTGCCTAGCCTGTGCCCACATGAAAGATGACTTGCTATTTTTCTCCATTCCCTGGAGATTATAATCAGAGATGAGGATCATAACCAGGAACACCCTGATGGAAAGTCTAAGATAAGGTATAAGCATGGGTAACATAATGGTTGGGAGAAGGTTTGAGAGGAAGACAAAACCACTTGTAGGACGGAGACCCAAATCAAAGTAAAATTGGGTTTTCAAAAGATCTTTAACAAATGCCCTTCAACGCCACACATAAGCTTCATGTTATGTGGTAGAACATTTTATTGGGAAGAGATAACTGTCTAAACTTTATTTACAAGCGAGTGAGTCTGTTCTGACTTATTTTGACTGAAGGGAGTTTCACATACTGAAAGCTTGAGTTTGCTCATCTAGCAGACACACAGTGGATCTTAGGGGTGGGGAACTGCAGGAGATCCTGAGATAAAGTCATGGGAGTGTGAAGTCAAAACCCTTTTCATAATAGTGGCAAGATATTATTTACTTTTTTGTTTACATTCATGAGTGTTCAGAGTCTGAAATGGGCATTGCAGCTAACCTTTGAAGATTACCACTTTTTGAGTTTTGGTGTAGTACCAAAGAGAAATATCCATAAATAACTGGAAAAATTATTAAAATACTCACTCCCACTCTTTTTTTTTCATTTTAATTTTTTTTCTTTCTTTCATTTTTTTAATTAAGGTATTATATGTGTACATATCTTACCAATTCCCCCTCCTCCCCAACTCCTATACATGCCCTCCTTCCCCAGAGTTTTGCGACCATTGGTTATGCTTATATGCATGCATACAAGTCCTTTGGTTGATCTCTTATCTCCCCCATATCTTCCCCTCCCACTCTTAATTAATTAAGTATCTGAATTTTCCTTAAAAAATATATATTTTATTGATTTTTTTACAGAGAGGAAGGGAGAGAGAGAGCTAGAAACATCAATGAGAGAGAAACATCAATCAGCTGCCTCTTGCACACCCCCTACCAGGGATGTGTCCACAACCAATGTACATGCCCTTGACCAGAATTGAACCTGGGACCTTTCAGTCCGCAGATCGACGCTCTATCCACTGAGCCAAACCGGTTTCGGCTAAGTATCTGAATTTTCTTTGCATGTTTTTAACCAAAGCATCAGATTGAATATATTGAATACAGCTGCAGATAGAAGAGCCCTGATGCTTTCTGTTAAGCCATACAATCGAGGTTTGCAAAAATATAAAACTATATTACTCTTCTCTTTTATTACTTTTGAAAAATATACTTATTTTTCATAAAAATATTACTTATGTTAACATACGATGGATTCATTATTGGTATTTAAAAATGAAAAAATAATCATCAAAATTTCTCAAGTTAAACTTTTAATAAGAAATACCAATTGATGTAATTCATGTGAACAAAAGTGCTTTGGGATGCTCCATAATTTCTGAGAGTGTAAAGGGATGCAGAAGCCAAGGAGTTTGGCAATGGCTGGATTTTGGAGAATCCAAATATAATTTCCATATTCTTTGTGCACTTGACTATTTATTTCTTCAAAGGTCCTGTTATATTTTTTCTGTCTTTAGGGCATTTATATTTATCTTAAAGCACAAAGTAGTTTCCTATTGGCAGAGAGCTCCAAGGTAGAACAGAGGACATATAACAGCAAGAACATCCAGTAATGCACAGACACCAGTGGGGTGAGAGCATGAGCGCAGGGAGGCATGGGAGAATAAGGACACATATGCAATACCTTAATCAGTAAAGAAAGAAAGAAAAAAGAAAATACAGTAGTTACAGGATGATATGGAGAATCATGTCCATTTTACTATTTTGTGTGTGGTTCAGAGTGAGTCCCTAAAATTCAGTATTCAGCTTCCAAATAATAACTTTGTAAATTGGAGTTATTATTTTGAAAGGATAGGCTTTCTTTTTCTGTGGTGGTTGTGACCATGAGTAAGTGTAAAGTCTGGGAAAGTTATCCCAGAGAATTTTGTGCTTTCAAAGATAGGTAAGAGAGAAGCCTTCAAATTTTAGAGAGAATTGAATACTCTAAGAAAGGGAAGTTTACGAAACCAGTTACATTATCCCGCTCCCAAGATGAGTAAAGTTGCTGGCAGTGGCGCCATCTCATATCTTCCGTGCTCTCCTCCAGATGCATGGGAGACAGGACACGGTAACATTTGATTGAGATCTAGCAGGGGCCAGCAGTTTCTCAGAAAATACAGCCAGGTCCTATGGAGTCTTGAGATGATCTTTCAAGTGGAAAACCAATTGTGCAACAGATTAAATGTTATTGTAGTTGCAATCAACTACTAAAAAAATGTATATATTTCTTATTGATTTCAGAGAGGAAAGGAGAGGGAGAGAGAGATAGAAACATCATTGATGAGAGAGAATCATGGATCGGCTGCCTCCCGCCCACCCCTCACTGGGGACTAAGCCTGCAACCCCCTCACTGGGGACTAAGCCTGCAACCCAGGCATGGGCCCTTGACAGGAATTGAACCTGAGACCCTTCAGTGTGCGGGCTGATGCTCTATCCACGGAGCCAAACCTGCTAGGGCTCAACCAACTACTTTTGAATGCTCAAAGCGAAAACAAAAAACAAGAAAACAAATGGAATTTAGAGACAGACTCGAGCCTTCCCAGGAGACGTGAGACTTACTGCAAAGTGAAACAACGAGGCTATGACTCTGCCCACAGGGAATGAAGCTCTGAGAGCTGGTGTGGAGAGCAGAGTGACGGCCTCCCAAGCGTGCCTGTGTCCTCATCCCAGGCCCCGAGAACACGTTACCTTACATGGCAAAGGACTTTGCAGATGTGGCAGTAAGAGCTTTGAGATAGGGACATTTTCTTGGATGACCCCAGTGGACCCAGCTTAATCACATAGGTTCCTAGAAGCAGAGAAGCTTTCCTGGCTGTAGGCAGAGAAAGGGAGACGTGACTAAGAAGAGTGGTTAGAGGTGCCACGTTGCTGGCTTGGGGGGAAGGGGGGAGGGAAGGACCATGAGTCATGGAAGGTGGGTGTCCTTTCGAACCCAGACAAGGCAAGGACGTGGCTCTATTCCTAGAGCCTCTGGAAAGGGATGGGACCCTATTGGGCTTCCAAGGGAAGAAATGCAAGCTGGTAGATTTGTGCTGCTTTATACTGCTAAGTTTACGGTAATTTGTTATGGCCGAAAGTGAGCACAGCTGGATCGCAATTGATAACCCAACGCCCAGCTCTCCGTTTTCCTTCCAGCGCACTGATGTTGGCTTGATGCTCTCTACACCAGTTGACCAAATAATAAGTTAGGTGGTCAGTGGGGTACATGCTGCTTTTCTATTTATTTCCTGGGGACCCCTTTAGAAGCCATTTCCAAGTCTTTGGGCTCCATGGTGAATGAGGTAGGAAGGCAGTTTTTTTGGGAAAACCATTCCAAAATCTCGTCTTTTCTTTCCGTGGACAAGAGGGAGAGAAGTAGTGAAGGGTTAATAATTACTTAAACCAACAATATAGTCTATTGTGTTTAAGGTACATAGATGCATAGATTTTAGTTCACAGAAGAAAGTGAGTCCAAAGAAATGTTAAATTTTTGCTTGTTAATTTTCAAAGCCTTGGCCCAATAGTATGACAGTGATACGGGAAAGGTCTAGGTGGGACATGAAAAATTAAACAACAACAACAACAACAACAAGAAAACCCCACACACCTCGAATTTGCTCAGCTGCTCGGAGTGAGAAGAGCACTTTTTGTCTCCTCGCCCTTACGCAATGCTGTTGACTTGGGGCCAGAGGTGCCTGAAGGAAAGACCAGAATGTACGAACGATAGCAGCCGAGGCAAGGAAACAAGGCAGGGACTCAGGGACTTGGGAGGTAAAATTAGAAGCGCCAGAGTGGTTTGGAGCCAGCCAGGAAGGGTGCCAAGCTATGAAAACATCAACGCCTGCTGCCCTTACATGCTTCCTTCCCCTGGTATGGGGACCCGACAATCCCAGTCATGTTTACATTCAGCATTTTTATTTGGAAACTTCGTACACGTTCTCACTGATTTTTACTGAGAGCCAATCATTTGTGTTAATTGATTGGCTTTCATTCCTGAAGAGTGATTTTGGTACATCTTAGGGCCAACAGTCTTTGTAGGAGGTGACAGCTGGACATTGGGGGTGGGGCGGGGATTAAGCGTGCCTGAAAGAATTTGAGTTTTAGACAACTTTCCCCCGTTCTGTCCATTCACAGCCTACCTACATTTCATAAGCCTAGCAGAAAGGGAATGCCTATTTGCCAAAACCTAGAAGAACATGCTGAACACAGTGGTAAAAAGAACATAACATCTAATAAAATTGCTAAGCAAGAAGTATAGAGCTACCACCGTAGTCACTTGTGTCTTACCCAGAGGGTGCCCCAGGTCCAATATAAATTTCTCTCAGGAGACAAGGAAAGCAAACTTTTAACCAGCTGCACATTTTATTTGAAGTCTCGGGGCACTTAGAAAATGCCTCCTGAGCATAAGGAGGTTTAATTGCAAGAGCTATGTATTCGGAGAGCGAAAAGCAATCAGAATGGGAAGGAAACGAGTTTTCTATGTGGTCTGAGTTTTACCCCCCAAGCACGTCTAGCTTATAGAAAGCCAGCATTTGTAACGATTCCTGGCTTCCTCCTACTGGTGTAGGAAGATTGAGTTCATTTAGTTAATTTCCCAAGGCTCCAGAAGTTTCCATGAATTTGATCTCACAACTAATGTTTGTAGATTTTATTTCTCTGACCCTTAAAGTCCCAAGTAATAATTTAGACAGTATTTTAACTGTAAAGTGACATTGGCAGACACTGTGTGATAGGTACATGCTACCCATTAGCATTAACCATAATCAAATAAACTGCCAACCAATGAACACAGGGTATAATGCTGATGTTCTGACCTTGGAGAATAATGTCTAAAATATAAATAACACTATGGAAAAATGTTTCATCTGTACTAATAAAAGGGTAATATACTAATTAGATTGGGAGACCTTCTGTGAGACCTTTTGGACGTCCTTCCGGACAAAGCCATGGTGGCAGGGCTGAGGCAGAGGTGGTTAGGGGTGATTAGGCCAGAAGTGGAGAGCAGTTGGGGGTGATCAGACTGGCGGGGAGGGGCAGTTCTGGGTGAGCAGGCTGGTGGGCGGGGGGCAGTTGAGGGCGATCAGGCCAGCGGGAAGGGGGGTGGGGGGACACTTGGGGATGAGTAGGCTGGCAGTAGGGAGGGGCCAGTTGGGGGAGAGAAGGCCAGTTGGTGGGGGGCAGTTGGGAGCGAGCAGGCAAGCAGGCAGAGTGGTTAGAGGCTATCAGGCAGGCAGGTGAGCAGTTAGGAGCCAATGATCCCGGATTGCAAGAGGGATGTCCAACAGGCACCGGGTCTAAACCGGCAATTGGACATCCCCTAAGGTGTCCCAGATTGGAGAGAGTGCAGGCTGGGCTGAGGGACACTTCCTCCTCTGTGCACAAATTTCGTGCCCTGGGCCACTAGTTACATATAATGTTATTACACTGTGACTTTTTTCCTATAACTAACACTGAATCAGAGCATCTTATAAATTTTATACAGGGTGAAGGTACTTCTATAGAAACCCTGTTCTTTCCTGGGCTGGAGAATGCTGATAAAATGCAGGGAATGGGGAACATAAGAAGTGAGGTGAGGTAGGAGCCGCCACAGGGAAGTGCTGACTTAGCTTGGATCCATGGAAAGATCACTGGAATAGGAGTCAGGGGGCCTGAGTTTTGGCCTTTCTTTACCTCAGCTAACGCAGAGCAATGTAGGGTAGTCTCCCAGTGGATGCCTGAGACCGCGGATAGTACCAAACACTATGTATACTAGGATTTTTCCTATGCATACATACATATATAAAGTTTAATTTATAATTTAGGTACAGTAAGAGAGGAACAACAATAACGGATAATAATAAAAACCCCCAGACGATTATAACAATATGCTGTAGTAAAAGTTATGTGAATGTGGTCTCCTTATCTCTCAAAAATATTGTATTGGACTTTACTCACATTTTCACTTAAAAGAAGCACATTCTGGCTTCTCTTTAGCAGATCTCAATTGCCAGCATCGCCATTTTTGCTCCTTGAGGCCACTCACTGTTAAGTAAAATGAGGGTTACTTGCACATAGGGCTACGAAGTGACTCACAGGTGGGGAGCAGACAGCATGGAGGTGCTGGACAAAGCGATGATTCACACCCGGGGCAGGATGGAGAGAGCCTGCCTGAGATTTCATCACAATTTAGAACTTATGAATTGTTTATACCTGGTACTTTTCATTGAATATTTTTGGACCACAGTTGACTGTGAATAGCTGAAACCTTGGAAAGTGACACTTTGGATAGGTGTGTGTGTGTGTGTGTGTGTGTGTGTGTGTGTGTAATAATGTATTTAGTAATTCCTCATGTGAGTTTTTTCTTCTGAATCATGGTGTTAATAACACCTACCCTGGGAATTATTGTAAAGACTGTTAGGAAAAGGAAGCAGGACATCCTATAGGATACCTGACACACAAATGATTAATCTGGTAAGATTTATTCTTTCCTGAGTCTTAATTTAGAAAACTAGGATAGTCTAGTACCCATTGCTTTGTCCAGCACCTCCATGCTGTCTGACATCATACGTATTTATTACAATACTAGAGGCCCGGTGCATGAAATTTGTGCATAGAGGAGGAGGAGACCTTTAGCCTGGCCTGCACCCTTTCCCAATCTGGGATTCCTCAGGAGATGACTGGCAGTCAGACATCCCTCTCACAATCTGGGACTGCTGGCTCCTAACCACTCATCTACCTGCCTGATCACTTCTAACCACTCTTCCTGCCTGCATGATTGCTCCTAAACACCTCTGCCTTGTCCCCACCATCACGGCTTTATCAGGAAGGATGTCCAGAATGACGTCCGGAAGGTCATTCAGCTGTCCAGTCTAATTAGCAATTACATTTTTATTATTATAGATTATTGACTGTACTCCTTATGCTGTACTTTATAACCTGCGACTGTTTTGAAACTGCTAATCTACACTCTTTAATTCCTTCACTTTTCCCCCCTTTTCTTAAACACTCTAGCCTGATATTTTTCAGAGCTCTCCATCCACCCTCCCTTTAAAAAAATATTTTATTGATTTCAGAGAGGAAGGGAGAGAGAGAACAATATTAGTGATGAGAGAGAATTATTAGTCGGCTGCCTTCTATAAACCCTCACCCCCACCCTCACAACTGGGACCAAGCCTGCAACTTGGGTATGTTCCCTGACCTGGAATCTAACCATGACCTCCTGATTCATAGGTTGATGCTCAACCACTGAGCCACACCTGGCAGGCTTTTTAAAAAATCTGAAGTATAACCAATACTTCAAATGGCATTGATGTGATGAGGAGAATTGCAACAGAGGCACACTTGTGAGGACAAAGTTGGTGGCGGGGTTGCGGTGGGGGACGGGGGGGGGGGATCGAAGTCGGGGAAAGCTATACAGTGGCGTTGACACCAGTCCCCTGGGAGGGAATATGGGAAAGGGCGAGTTGAGAAGGAAGAAGGGATGCACCTTAAGGTGAGACTGTGAATGTGGTCTCTGGTTTAGGTAGCATTTACAGTTGTAGATATCTTATACAGTTGCTGGTTTAGGTAGCATTTAGGTGTTTCTGGAGAAAGAAAATGGATATAAGCCTATAAAACTGTATTGAGTAAACCTCAGTATTATGGAGAACGTGTTTACTGTTTTATAGACTTGACAGTAAAACGATGACACTTATTTGCGTGAGGATCCTTGGCACAGCTGAATGTTTACTGTTCCCGTTCCACTGGGCATGACAAACCCGGCCTGAACCTCTGCCTCTGCACAGTGTCAGCAATCTCAGACTTGAAAGGAAGAGGAACATGCTTGTGCTTGAACACGCACTCCTTACAGACATTTCCGGAGGAACGTGTATACCTGTCTTTGACTCTCCATCCTTCTATTGATCACATATTCTTGGCAAACAAATGTGTCAGATTTGATAAGACCTGAAACAGGACTGAAGTTCAGTGTATGCAATTTTATCTTTCTCAAACCATGTTTGTCTGTTCTTATTTTTGTTTGGCCTGTATTAATGTTATTAAAAATATGCGCACTCAGCAGGCTGATTCACTTAGCTGTGCATTTTGGCCCAGTTAACTATCTTCAGAATATTTTTTTTGACAATTTCAGTGCATTTAGTTTTTTTTCCTTCATGTGGTTATAGAGTGATCTACAGTATTTCCTCAGCCATCATAATCTGTTTTGGTTTTACTGTGTTTTAGAATTCTCTGTGGTAAACACCCAGTGACTTTGACTTTCTAAATTTCTTTGTTTTGAAAAATTATTTTTAAGAGAACATTTCTAGTGTAAGGCAGCCATGTTCCTTGTAAATATACTTTCCTGAGTCCAGTTGATCTAGGATGTGTTGATTTGCTCTTCCATTTAGCTTCATTGCACACTTATATCACTGATCCTGACTTACCTGGTATTTGTTTGTACCTTCCATTCCCTATAGCACATATATATATATATATATATATATAAGGAAGAAGGGATGCACCTTAAGGTGAGACTGTGAATGTGGTCTCTGGTTTAGGTAGCATTTACAGTTGTAGATATCTTATACAGTTGCTGGTTTAGGTAGCATTTAGGTGTTTCATATATATATGGCTAATATGCAAAGTGTCCCCTTGGGAATTTGACCAGGAGATCGGGACATGACATGTGCTGACCACTAGGGGTGGCGTGGAATAAAGGAAGGCCCTGGCTGGCAGCTGGAAGGCCCTAAGCTGCCTTAATTGCCAGCCAAGCCTAGGGACCCTACCAGCACACGAATTTCATGCACCGGGCTTCTAGTCAGTCTATAACAGTTATGATATGCCATCTTCTTCTAGCTATTTGCTTATTCAGTGAGAGTATTAGTGAATATTCTACCTATAATATATTTTACCTGTATAAGATATATACAGTAAGTATAATGTACTGGATATAATATTATAAGCCCAATATGCTAAGTGTCCAGTCTTCCAGTGACCAGTTGACTGTTCAAACCAGTGGTTGGCAAACTTATTAGTCAACAGAGCCAAATATCAACAGTACAACGATTGAAATTTCTTTTGGGAGCCGAAAACCAACTTCTGTGCATAGGCCATGAAGTTTCAATCGCATTGTACGTGAGCACCCCGCACGTGGTATTTTGTGGAAGAGCCACACTCAGGGGCCAAAGAGCTGTATGTGGCTGGCAAGCTCCGCTTTGCCAACCACTGGTTCAAGCAATCAAAGTGTAAAATGCTAATGACATGCTAAGCTCTCTAAACTGCTTGTTATGATGTGCACTGACCACCAGGGGGCAGACACTCTGACTGGTAGGTTAACTTGCTGCTGGGGTTCTGCTGATTGGGCCTGAGCGAGATGGGCCGGACATGCCCTGAAGCTTTCCCACAGTCCCTCCCGGCCCCAGTTATGCACTGGTGGAGTCCCTCGGCCTGGCCTGGGCCCTCTCACAATCCAGGACCCCTTGGGGGATGATGGAGAGCCAGTTTTGGCCTGATCCCACGGCCACTCTCCTCAGGAGGCCAGAGGATGGCTGGTTTTGTGTCTGCGAAGGATTGAAAACGTAACCAGAAACGATGGAAGGAGGCTTTGGAGAATTTTAAGGAGAACTTGTAAGGCTGATGTCTCAGTTCTAAACTATAAGATTTCTTGTACCTTCCCTTTGTTGTTTTTCTTAGAGTACTTAGAGCATTCTAAGATGTTGTGTATGTTAGTTAAATGGGATTGTAGTTCATAGACCTACAAGATATTCCTACAAATTAGGGTGAGAGTAAATTCTGTATGTTGAACAGACTATAATCAAGGCAAAGATGTACATTTACTATTAAAAGAATGGAAAGAAAACAGAAAATGAACTGTAGAGTATACATATAAACATCCAATGTGCTTAAGAAATAAAATTGTCTAAGAAATTGTTGGTCAGACCAATGATTACAGAAAATCTACTCTTGGAAGTGCCTTTGTAGTTACTTCGTATTAGCTGAGCAGATGTATTTGGTAATGAGTCAATGTTTTGTTTCTACCACCAACTATCCCTGGATTTGTAAGTAAATCTTTAAATAGGCATATTTCCTAAAAATATTTTGGAAAACAATTCTCTTAAAAATATCTATGTATTTATTAATTTTAGAGAGGAAAGTAGAAGGAAAGAGAGATAAAAACCTCAATGATAAGACAGAATCATTGATCCGCTGCCTTCTGCATGCCCTGCACTGGGGATCCAGCCCACAACCCAAGCATGTGTCCTGACCAGGAATCAAACCGAGACCTCCTGGATTCATAGGTCAATGCTCAACCACTGAGCGACACTGGCCCGCGAAAACAATTCTCCTTTGATTGCATGAATAAAGAAGTGGAAAACCCATGTTCCATTTTAATTTCAATTAAACGCTGGTTAAATAAAAAGACAAAATTAGATCTTTTCGTCATTCTCTCTGACAGTGTGTAAAATGCGATTGATGTATGTGCATCTCAGATGACTGAGATTGCAAATGTATAACTGCCATGCTCCAGGCAAGATACATTATGTAAATCAGCTGGACTGAGGAGGGCTCACTGTGTTTAACCTGGGAAAGAAGAAGGCATGCTCTTCTGCACGTTCTCCACATAAAAAATAATGTGATTTCCAAAAGATAAAAGTGTACTTACCCTTGGCAGGCTGTGGCATGCTTAATGGATATCATTTTAACATGACTGCAGCAATGAAAGTGTTGAAGGAGAATCAGAGATTTTTGGTTAAGAAGTGCATGTACAGTCTACAAAATTCCTCCTTCTTTTGGGGGCTTATCAATACCTGGTATTTGGCAGAATTTTTTTAGTCTCCAGTTGATCTGACTTAGAAGTGAATCCTTGTTAGGTTAAACATGTTCCAATCCTGTTAGCCAAGTCCTCATTGCTATGATAACATTGGTTTGGATAATTTGTTACCCTTGCCAAAATTTGGGTAGCTGTTGACATGCTTCTACACCTAAGACCCCTGACAAGTGCCACCTTGTTTATAAAGATTCAGCGTGGTTGCCCCTAACTGCCCTCCCCTGAAGGCCTGGTTTCCCCAACTGTCCTCCCCTGCAGGCCTGGTCCTCCTG